CAGGGGTGGCAACAATCGTGATAGAGGCAGGGGGTGTGGAGGTCAGTCCTCAGGTCGTGGACAAGGCCGCGGCAAAGGAAATAACATTATCTGTCAACTGTGTAACAAACCAGGCCATGGTGCACTGAAGTGTTACAAACGGTTTGATTTGTCATATCAAGGAGAAAGCAACTCCTCAATATCTTTAGAAACAAAATGGTCATTGCACCCCCACTCCGATCTTCCCCTTGCAAAAGACAACCGCCACCACCTCCGTCCACCCTCCGATTTAGCACCCAGCCCACCCCTCCGTCGACCCAAGCGGGAGGATCGACAACACTACATGGAAGACTGACTTGGGGGTTGCTCTAAATCCCCAACTTGCTTCTACAGAAACGAATTAAACCACTCAGAACCCACATGCGAGAAAGAAAAAGAGATTGCCTAGGAGAAGAAGAAAATAAAGATTGACTAACCAAGCTCTGCTTGTGTTTCCTTGATCCATTTATTAGAGGCGATTCAATTCCATTGGGCATGGAATGTGGCTTCTTTGCATCTGGCTGTGGTGGCGATATTGATTCCTGGTTTTGCTTCTGTTGCATAGTTACAGCAAATCCGAACACATTTATCCATAAATTTTTATAAGTAATAAATAATTCAAAAGAAAGTATACTGGAGATTTTGATGCTTTGTCACCTCCAAAATCCTTTAAAAAAAGATGAAAAAGACAAAAAAAATACAATTGTGAACACAGTTACGATTCTTTTAAAGCAAAACGAAGAGAGCACGAACAATTCTTAGAAAATCTAACAAAAAAGCACGTATCTGAAACTCAACACCCAGCCCACCCCTTCGTTGACCCAAGCGAGAGGATTGACAATGCTCCGATCTGCAGCTCACCATGACTAAAGGAACCGACGGCTGGATTTCCTCAAGCACCGAATTGATGATGAAGTAGTTGATGAGCTTCGATCCTGGGGAATGGACAGAGAGCTTGAGAAAGGAATACCTTCTCCTCATTGAGGGCTTTTTCTCGGTTCCTCTGCCTTTCTTCTTCACTACTTACGGCCAAGCGATCAAAGTAACAAACTTGTTATATCTTATATCCATTGATTCAACACTAGTTTGGATCCATCCTTATGAAATTCTGTTGGGTTTGTTGAATGAATATAAATATGCAGGCTAAAATGAAGGTAGCAGAGACACTTTGGTTGATGGTGAGGAAGAGGAGAGAGGAGAGTAGAGAAGGAGAGAGTAAGAAGAAAGACATGCTGGCAGCATTGTTGGAGGGGGGAGAAGGTGATTTCTTAGATGAGGAGATCGTCGATTTCTTGCTGGCCCTACTGGTCGTCGGTTACAAGACCACCTCCACCATCATGACTTTCTGTCAAATTCCTCACCGAGACACCGTTGGCTTTGGCTCAGCTAAAGGTGGGTTTCAGTTTTCTCATTCATCTATGTTGCCTTCTTCTTCCGTTCTTTTTCAAGTGCGGTTGTGGTATAGCCAGTCTGGACCAAGATTTTTTTGTACACAGTTGAGGGTGAATTCGGGGGAGCGCCACCTGTGAAAGCCTGAAAGGGCATGGTGGTGAATTGGTGATTGGTGGTCGTACATGCAGGGAAGCTATCTGGAAGACGAGCTAGAAGCCGGTCCATGTCAGTTGAACCACAATAATAAGCACCAATCATGCCGACGACAAGAGATTTGCTGCTGCGACTAATCGGAGGTAAACCAGTCAAAACGTCTTCTCGAGAAAAGAAGACGATGAACAGTATATTTGGACTCTATTTCATTTTCTTGAGAAAGAAGATGATAAACAGTGTCCAAGGGTAATTTTAACATTTTAAAAGTCTTAAATCACATATGAGGTCACATGATATATATAACTGACGATCTATCAAGAGTAGTTACTAGATTATCACAAAATGAAAGTTCGGATACTAAATTGACACTCGACCTAAAATACAGAGTAGCTATCGAAAATTTCCCCTTATTAGTAATAGGAGGGAGGAGGTTAGGGCCAGGAGCCCAGGGCCCAAGTGCATCCAACTATCCATGTGTCAAGTTCCAACCGACAAGGAAAGCGGAGATGGAGAAAAAAGCGTATTATCGGTAGCCATTTGTTTGTTATTTTGCCTTTTCTCTTTGTTGGCCTTGACACGTGTCACTTGTATAATACCCAATCAACTAGAGCCTCGAGTTCCACGTGGACCTACCTACCTTAACTGACTACTCTGAATACAACCCAAAAGTTCAGAAAAAAAAAATTAAAATTAGTGGATAAGAGACAGTGCGCCACGTCACAGGAACTTATCCCACTCTCTTTTATCTTCTCAATCCACGTGCGGCCTACTCCACCACCACGGAAAAGGGCAAATTTGATATTTTATTGGTAAGGAAATTTTTTTTTCCGGAAAATTAGATATTGACGTCTACGGAACCACTGGTCCACTGTCACATCTTATATTGATTCGGCGTAAACTCCATACCAATCCACCAAGACCAAGGGACAATTATTATTCTCACGAGGAAAACAGGTGAAATGTTCCAACCGTTGAATTGGAATCCGTCATCTTCGTGTCTGGGTCTCTGGACCCGTAGATGAAACGCCGTTACAGTACATCTCCAGTTCTATATGAGCCGTTGGATTGTAATCACTTGGTCTTTTTATTACACTACAATCTCACCTGTAAAATACCCTCATTCCAATCCTATATTCATGTAGTAAGATTCCAATTCAACCAATCGTCGTTGGAGAGAATCCATTCCGTTGTCGTTGTCAATTGAAAGCGTGGAGGAGAGAGAGGGAGAGAAATAACCCATCACGCCACTCATCCAGAAAGACACGATCGTCGATCGACTTAGGAGTTAGGATACCACAGATAACCATTGGATTAGAATCCCATTTTACAAAATTGACAGGTGAGATTATAGATAGAGGCCATCGGGGGAGAGAGAGATAATTGAATCGAGATATATTTTTTTCGCTCGAAAGTCGAGAGAGATTTTTATCTCAAATGGGTAACGTGTCTCCACCAGGGACCGACCAAAAACATAAGAACAGCATCTGCCGTCCAATAATTAACAGCCGCGTGGTTACAAGCGTAACTTCCGATAGAACCACAGTAAATGGATGCGTGGAATGGGAAATTGGTTTGATTCTTCTCTTCTCGAATTCAGCACATTTTTTTCCAACTGATTCCAACCGACCTTTTTGAAAAGACCCAGGCTCTGGCATTCAAAACGCGGTAGGTCAGTCTCTTTTTTCTTTTTTTTTTTCAATTTATTTTAATATTATAAAAAGAAAAGTTTAGAGTTTAGACTCTAGAGGGACTATTATGAAAAATAAATAAATAAAGTTTTGACGAATCATTGCTTTATTTCATTATCATTCTTAAATGTCGCAAATGACCTTAATTAGAGAGGAGTTTTACAAAACGACCTTGACGTATGTCCTTTGCATCTGCTGATCACATGACTGAGAAGCGGGGATCAGATCTCCACCGCCTACAGATTATTTATATTAAATGCTGAAATATGAAGTATGAACTATTTACTACTATACCTGTTCATGGGCCGGGTCGGGCCGAGCTCGGGCCGGGCTTTTATTGTGTATTAACAAATTTTTTTAAGGTCCGAGTTCGAGCCCGGCCCTCATAAAAAGCCCGAAACCCGGCCCTTATTAATGTTGAAGCAGCTGAATAGAGAGAGATATAGATTGAAATTATAAAGAAAAGAATAAAATATATATATATATATATTAAATTATAAATATATATTTTAATAAATATTATATTATTTATATATTTTATATAATATATAAAATACATATTATATGTTTTATAAAATATACAATACTGAGTCGGGCCGGGCCGGGGCTTTTTTGACAAATCCCGAGCCTAGCCCGAAATACAATCGGGCTTACTGTGTTAAGCCCGAGGTCAGGCCCGCGGGCCCAATTATATGACCAAGCCCGACCGGGGTGTAGGCCGGGCTGGGCCGTTGGGTTACCCGGCCCATGAACAGGTCTATTTACTACCCACAAATTGTTCTAACATCCCTATCCATTGTGGGGAGGGATGTAGAAATAGCTAACATACCATTTTTGCATCATATCTTGCTTTTATGAGGAGATATTTCTGAATTCGACTTCAATCAGGGTAAAGTCTATTCCAACAATTTTTACTGTTTTGCAATGAGAATTTTTTCATACTTATATGTTTTATTTCATAAAGAGATATTCTAAATACAAGATTGGAAAAGGCTGTTAAAATGGTGTAAATACAGATTTACCCCGATAGAGGCCGATCTCGATATTTCTAATACACATCCATAAGGGGCTGTGAAAATAATGCGGAGATGTGGTCATGTGGTATTGTGAGCACCAAATCCCAATTCTTAGTGAAATAGACTCATACATCAAGTGAAACTGAAATTCGTATTGGCGTCCCACAGAATGCCACAACACATCCCGACTGTGAATTAGAAATATCTCCATATTGTTCCCTACACCAATTTTACCATGCATTACAGCTGTATATTTTCATGAATAATTAATAACAGAGATCATATCTGCGCCTCACACTAATCTTACAACATATCCAAGCTCTACATCCGAAAGGACCGAAACATTTGAGATAAGACCTGTTCTGCTCCTCACATAACGCGTCTTACAACGTCTCATACGCACATTCTACCATATTATAAACATCTTTCGTATTTGTAAGTTATTTTTCACGGGAGATATTCTAATGCACAGTGAATGTATATGTTAGGCGCCCAAGTGTGAGGAGCAGATTCCGTTTCCGTTTTAGATATATTGTGGGAAGCAAATATGAAGATTGACTCTTGTCTTGACCATCACCACGGATAGAATAGTATTTTTAATCCGTTAATCTACTTTTTCACTTTTTTTATTTCAAAAAATAAAAATTAGAAAAAAAAAAGAAACAACGGTGCAGTCTCCTCCATCTTCGAACCTTCCCTCCGCTGTTCCTATAATAACCATTAAAAATTGAAAAAAAAAAGCAGCGTTGGCTTCTCTAAAGAAAGAAAGAACCATTTTCATCTCCGGCAGCCATTTCTCTTTCTATTTTAGGCTTCTGTAAACTACCTATCCATCCGTTCAACTAAATTTCGGTATTATTTTTCTCTATTTGTAGATTGCAATCTTACTCTTCCGTTATTTTTCTATCTCAGTTGTTTCTCATTTCTTTATTTCTGTAATCGCTCTGTTTTCAAATTTTCAAGATAAACAGAGTTGTATATAATTAATCCATTCATCTGATTTATACTTCAATTTATTTCCTTAATTTTGATTCTTCGTGGTATGAATCCGAGTGGGTCTTTTGGAATATCCACGATGAGACCCTGCTGTAGACTCCTAATCGGTTGCAGAGGCTCGGCGTTCTTCGGATTCTTACCGCCAACATGTCAACATTCGCTCGCCAATAACTTGTCAGGTTTTCGATACAAATTGCTCCAACATCGTCAATTACATAGCAATTCCCCTCGAATTTTTGGTTTTAAATGTGTAGCCAATCCAGATCAGAGACCTTTTCGTTCTCCTGATTCGAATTGGGGTCAATCTAGGGTTTTCTCTCGCTGTTGTAATGTTGGGCAAGATAGAGGCACTTCTTTTATTGCTAATGTTGCCTCGGATGTTCGACATCATTCCACGTCCATCGACTCCCATGTTAATGACAAGAGCTTCGAGAAAATTTACATTCAGGGTGGTATCAAGGTGAAACCTCTCGTCGTCGAAAGGATTGAGAGAGGCGTTGATGAAGGAAAAGGACAAGAACAACAGGAACATGTACATCCGGTAGAGACATCTGAAGGTCTTAAGGAGACCGAGATTTCCACACACAAGAGAGAGGTCACGGAGATTGAAAAGGAGGCATGGAAGTTGTTGCAGAATGCGGTTGTTAATTACTGTGGCAGCCCAATCGGGACTGTTGCCGCTAATGATCCTGCTGATAAGATGCCGCTCAATTACGATCAGGTCTTTATTCGTGATTTTGTCCCGTCGGCACTCGCCTTCCTGCTACGGGGAGAAGGGGAGATCGTCAGGAACTTTCTTCTTCACACTTTGCAATTGCAGGTTCTCTGTGCTTCTTCTTCGTCTTCTTCTTGATTGGTTACTTGTTGCAGCCTACCTATTAGTTATATTCTTTTTAAGATTAAATCAAAAGTTTCATTGGTCTACGAGGCTACAATATTGGTGATGTTTTGCAATATTCCAAATATTTTGAATTTTTTGGTAGTACAGATATTTGATTTCGGGTTATGATATGGTTAAGGTCGGCCTCATTTATCCGTTATTCCAGATGCCTGTGCATGCTTTCTTCTTGTGTCCCTATAACTAGTACATGGGACTTTATGAATGATTTACTCGCAATCTGTGATGTTAGTAATCCACTGGTTTTATATCCTATGATAATGTGTGGTTTGTGGAAAGATGGAATTTTATATTGACTTTTTTTGTTCTTCTGTTATTATTCTAATGTTGGTAAAATCTTGGGTTCCTGCATGTTACCACCATTCGTCTGGGGTTCCCAAATGTTATCATGGTCGTCAATTTTCTTATTATGCTCGCGGTGTGTGTATTTACATTTGCCATTTTATGGCATGAAAGAACCTTTCTGTTCTTCTTTGTTGGTCAGCCATTTGGTCTTGTAATAGATGCTTGCGCTGTGTGGTTCTTTTGTTAGTTTTTGAATTTCTAGATTTTAAATGTTATGTCATGTTTGTTACTTAGAGCTGGGAGAAAACTGTGGATTGCTACAGCCCAGGACAAGGCTTGATGCCGGCAAGTTTTAAAGTTAGAACTGTACCTCTTGATGGCAGTACCGGAACATTTGAAGAAGTTTTAGATCCAGATTTTGGTGAGTCAGCTATTGGCCGTGTCGCTCCAGTTGATTCTGGTGAGTTTTAATACGAATTGTTAATTATAGTTTGTTTTGTTGCTGTTGTTATCATCCCCATATATGGACATTCATTTTTTTCTTTATGCAAACACTGGTTTGTTCAGTAGTTTTCTTGTCAGCTCTATGATACAAGCGGGAAATAAGGAATATCTACACTAAGCATCATTTAGGATTGGACTCTGATTTTCTTTTCTTTTTTCTTGGTTTTTTGATTATTTTGATAGGATTGTGGTGGATTATCTTGTTAAGAGCTTATGGAAAGATCACTGGTGATTATGCATTGCAAGAAAGGGTCGATGTACAAACTGGCATAAAGCTCATTTTGAATTTGTGTTTAACTGATGGCTTTGATATGTTCCCTTCTCTGTTAGTCACTGATGGTTCTTGTATGATAGATCGACGGATGGGTATTCATGGCCATCCCCTTGAGATCCAAGTAAGTTGGGACTCTACATGCACCTTTGCAATCATTTCTTCTGTACACTTCAGCTTTCAATTCTGTTGGGTTGTCATATATATTAATAGTCATTAAGGGCTCGTTCGCTTTTCAGCTTTTGAGAGGAGGGAAGTCAGTCAATGGGAATACCATTGACTGAGATACCGATTTCTTTTTTTAGATTTACGTAGGGTCCACATAAAATTCATTTTCCCTGGTTATAACTTGCCCAAGTATCTCCTAGGTGGGTAAGTAACTTTACCATCTGGGGGGAAAGTTGCCAACACTTGGATGGGACAAAATTGCCTCTTTTGAAATGGATTTTTATGGATAAAATGGTCATTGTCTTATTTAACTGGAAAATAAAAGAACATGGGTAAATGCAATTGCCCGGGTAAGTAATTTACCCAGGTAAGTGGCTTCCCAAAAAAACGAACGGGGCCTAAAGGTAACTATTTAAATAAATGCTATGCCCATATGTTGTTTGTATTATTGTAAATGCTTTTCTTGTGGGATTTATCCTACAGTAAGAGATCACCATTTAACTGCACTAAATGCTTTCCTTTTGTTTCATTTTACATAGCTAGCTTCAATGTATCTGATGAATTACTTCTTGATCTGTTTTATTATGCTCTAATTGTAGATAAATAATGTTGCATGGTCACCCTTTCCAATCAAGAAAAAATGTTGCATTGTCTAGGTTGTTTTAGGATAGCTCTTTTCAGTGTCAAGTCTTTTGGTTTTTGGAATGATAGTTGGCAACATGGCAATGGATGACTGCGCTAGTGAGGAGTGACTTGGTTCAAGTAAGGCTCTAAAAGAGCAAGGGGATGACCACAAGAAAATGAGCTTGAAGCGGTATGAAATAATCTAAGGACTAGTTGGATTGTGTTAAGTGACCATCCTGCAATCAGTATCAGTTTTTGACTTAAATGATCTGGTGTTACAAAAGCTGTTTTCTGTTTATTTGGGTAAGAAAAGCCTCAAGTTTCTAATAGTCAGTTATATAGCTGCAGAAATTATCTGCATTGAGTAGGTTCGTCTGGGCCAATGGCATAGTGGCCCCACAGTGTGACAGTGCTAAGCACGGGGCTTTAGTTTGCCAGAACTTACATTCCCTTGCTTGGTTTTGGGAACTTTGCTTGATATTGCAGTTCTTAGCCACGACTAATGCTTGGATGAACATGCTATGGTTAAGCTATAAGCACCCAGCTGTGCTTATAACTCATTGGCTTGAAAATAGAAGTTTGCATTTTTTTGTCTGAATTTTTAAACCAGTTAATAATAAAATGATATGGTGCCCAGTGAGTGTGCATTGATTAGATCATCACTGATTCTATAGTGCTGAATAGAACTGATCACTATAAAAGTGTTTGGCACCAAGTGTTGCACGAGCATTCCTATTTACCATGATTCAGGAAATTCATCACCTCTTTTCTTTTATTTTTTATTTTTTTGGTAATAACCTCTGTTCATCCATTGTTTTTGTTTTTTTGGAAATCTTTTTAGTTGGGAAATTTTGATTGAGCACTTAATATTCTAATATTAAATATTTTTATTACATTTAAGCTATGACATCTAACGAAAATTGTCAGCTTTTCCAACTTTCAGTTTTTCTGTACATCAGAATGGTGATTCAAGATCATGATGATGATTTAAGAATCATCGTTTTTGGTATTTGAGATTACCCCCTCCCTCATACAAAACCCAAAACGCTAATGCTGAAGCAAAGTTTCTCCAGAAACAGTCTACCCAAACTTGGTTTCATTGTGTTTCTGTTTTTTCTGATGTGGCAAGTTGGCAAAACAGGATGCTCATTAAACGAAATGGTGCCAAACACCCTCTATATGCGTTGTTTTCATTTTGTGTTTAAGAGAACTCATTTCATCATGTTTGTAAAATTCTTTATTTATTCCTTTTTTCCTAAAAGCAACAATACCTGAATATATTATTGTTTCTTCCTTTTTATCTCTTGGTGTAGAACACCTAAACACTAACTCTAATCAGTAAGTAAACCTGTAAGGGGAAATTGGTTGAGAACTGTGAGTTTAACTTTATGTGTAAAGCTAATATTAGAACTTAATTTGTTCTTTATATCAGGCTTAATGTTCAATTGATACTTTTCGAGTTCTGTAGAAATGTACTACACTCTGATCATGTTGCCCTTTGGAAGCATTTCTTTTTGTGTTGCAAAAAGTGATAACTGATCCATACCATTTGAGCCAAGGATAATAATAACAAGCTAGTGTTTTATAACATGGGTGATAATTTCTAATGTAGTCCCATTGTTGTTATTGATTTTAGTCAGGGAAAGTTGCTGGTAATGGAGAACTCTTTTAATCTTTACAGTTTAGAGGGGAAGGTGGATTAGTGTTGGATCTTCTTTGTGTTGGTGAGGTCAATTAGCCATCTATTTGGGTAATATAATGTAGCCTAAGTTAAACATGGTGCATAAACGTTAACTTTTATGAATTTGATTTCTTATTTTGGAAAAGGACTGAGAACTATTGAAAGGAATATTTTTGAAGGCTAATGAAGCATGAGTTGCTAGAATACTTTACCTTTTTTGTCTTCTCTCTTTGTCTAGATCTTTCGTATGATCTGGTTTGTACTGTGTGGTAATAATTTTTTTATCTAGTACATTATGATCCTGTCTTGCATCTTATTTTAAGAATTGGTTGTTTCTTCCCTATTGCCATTGTAGTATGTTCTAACCTTCATCCCACATTCATGTTATCATTTACAAGCTTGTTTTGCCTCTGGTTATTTTTCCTTCGTTGTTGTGGTTTATAATCCATTGACAAGCTTGTTTTGGCAGGCATTGTTCTACTCAGCTTTGCGTTGCTCCCGAGAGATGCTAACTGTCGATGATGGATCCAAGAATCTTGTGACAGCCATTAATAACCGGCTCAGTGCATTGTCATTTCATATTAGAGAGTACTACTGGGTGGATATGAAGAAGATAAATGAAATATACCGTTACAAGACAGAGGAATACTCTACGGATGCCATCAACAAGTTCAATATCTATCCTGATCAAATTCCTTCTTGGCTAGTAGAATGGATCCCAGAGCAAGGTGGTTATCTTATTGGCAATTTGCAGCCAGCTCACATGGATTTTAGGTTTTTCACACTTGGCAACCTTTGGTCCATTGTTTCATCCTTGGGTACTCCTAAACAGAATGAGGGTATATTAAATCTGATTGAAGACAAATGGGATGATCTTGTGGGACAAATGCCTCTTAAGATATGTTACCCTTCTTTGGATTACGAGGAGTGGCGTATAATCACTGGTGGTGACCCGAAGAATACGTAAGTTTTTTCAATGCTATATGTATATATTTCACCTAGAGGTGTAAATCAGGTCATGCCGCCCACAGCCCTGCATGGCCCGGCACGATTTTGAGCTGGCATGGCCTGACATGATTTTGAGCTGGCCCAGCCCAATGGTCCATGGGCCGTGCCGTGGCCTGGCACGATTGTATGGGTCGATGGGTCGTGTCGGGCTTGGGGTTTCAGGTCAGCGGGCCGGGCCAACACGGCCCATATATATTTATATATATATTTTATATATAATATATTATATAAATTATAATTATATAATAATATATAGTATATAACATATTAATAAAATACATTTTTTTTCAATTTTATTATACTATTTTATTTAATTATTGTATATATAAGAAATTGTATACATCAAAATTCACATATAATTAAAATTTTAAGGTTTTTTATTTCAATTTTTAAATTAAATAACTTTGGCCCGGAGCATGGCCTGGCCTGGCCCAAGGACCCACGGACCAGCCTGGCACGGGCCAGTGTGGGCTTGGTTCGTGGGCCGTGCTGGGATGACCCCCCAAAATATCTCAGGGATGGGAGGCATGGCCCAAGATGGTCCACAGGCCGTGTCATGCCGGCCCAGCACGACCTGTTTTACACCTAATTTCACCTATTATATAGGAAACTGGAACAAAGAAGTCAACATTTTAACTTCAAATCTTTTAGTTGGTTACATGAATTATTTTTTATGTCTAAATTGGTTGAGTATTCTGAACATCATTTATGTATTTTGACTGTTACAGACCATGGTCATATCATAATGGTGGATCTTGGCCAACACTTCTGTGGCAGGTATATTTGAATTTGTTTTTAAGTGTTTGTGTGAATTATCATATCAAAAATGGGTGAGGGGAGGGCGTGGGTAAACCTCATTGCCTTTCTATTGGAAAAGGTGCATGTGCATCTGGGATGACAAGATAATGCTGCTTCCCTTGTTATCTGTTCATGTTGCAGGGTTCAACCTGTTTTCTTGATGTATTAGGATTCTGTTTGGCCAAAAGTCGGCCCAATTAGATGATATAATAAGAAATGATGTACAACACGGGTTGAGGGTATTGGATGCATAGACTTGGATTGTTGGCTTGATTACTTTTTGGCTGTTCTTTAACTCTTTATGATATTAAATATTTCAGTTCACATTGGCTTGCATCAAGATGAAAAGGCCAGAATTAGCCAGAAAGGCAATTACTTTGGCAGAGGAGAGGCTCTCAATGGATCAGTGGCCTGAATATTATGACACCCGTAATGGAAGGTTTATTGGGAAACAATCACGGCTTTACCAGACATGGACAATTGCTGGGTATCTGACATCAAAAATGCTTTTGGATAATCCAGAGATGGCATCAATGTTGTTAATGGATGAGGACTATGAGGTTCTTCAGACATGTCGCTGTGCTTTGAGTAAAACTGGACGCAAAAAGTGCTCCCGTGGGGCAGCCAAAGCACAGATTCTTGTGTAAGCAATACTCTGATCACTCTGAAGTACCATACTTTTATACTGTACAGTGAAACGCCTGGGAAGAAAGCACAACATTTTCAGTAAAGCACAACATTTTCAATCTGAAAATGTGACATGGAGAGGTCCATCTTCACAGCAGAAGCGAAATGTTGTCCTTAGAGGTCTTAGTGGAGTTGTCCAATATATCGTACATCTCATGTTGTATAATATTTGTTGTCTGGTAGAGCCAAGGTCAGTTAAACAGACTCATCTTTTGAACACAGATGAGGTGCTGAAATGTGTTCAATAGCTGAGAGAGACCTTTTTATAATTTATTTTTGGTCTGTAATCAACAAATGAAAGTTGATTCTTGATGTGTTCGGGATGATTGGAACCTGGTTTTGTGGTTCCAGAGCTGAACACTCATTTGTATGTTATTAACTTTTAACAATTAGCCCGATATTTATTATTTACTTACATAACTCCAAGGAGCTCCTCTCTCTCTCTCTCTGTTAGAGAGAAATAATAATTAGGTAGGGAATGCGAAATATTAGTCAGGTAGGCTCAGTTTGGAAGGAGTACGAATACAAATTTGTAGAGCTCGAGCTCGAGCTTGGTTCGAGCCAGAACCTTGAGCTCGAGCTCGGCTTGGCTAGGCTCGTTTTATATTTTATAAAAATATTTAGAAAAAATATTTTATAAAAAAAATTATATATAATTTTTTTTATTTTATATTTTAAAAATTAGGAATTATAATAATTAATAAGTATAATATTTTTATTATATATATATTTGATTCGGCTCGCAAGCCTTATGAGCTAAGCTTTAGTTGGCTTGAGCTTGGCTCGTTTAATAATCGAGCCACTAAATTGAGCTCGAGCTCGAGCTTGGCTAAAACCGAGCTGAGCCGAGCTTGAGCATCTCATGAAAAGCTCGGCTCGTTGCCACCCCTAAAAGATAGGGAAACCAATACAAGGGTTGTAAAGGTTTCCCTACCTTTCCTTTCCTTTCCTTACATTTTCCTTCAAACCAAATATAGCCTAAGGGCTCGTGGTTCATGGGAATAGAGATCTGGGATGGAATTGGAATGGGGTCATTTGGATTCTAAATGTTTGGTTGGATAGAATTGGAATCTATTTTCTCCATTCTTGGTGGAATGACATTTTCCCATTTGAGGGAATGGTCATTCCCTCCCCTTCTTCTCTTGGGAATGAAATCTTAGTCCAGCTTATTCTTAATTTCCATTCCTATTCCTATCTTAACCAGATAGACTTTATGCAAATAGACCATTCCAGTTCTGATTCTGAATCCAATTCTGTCTGCAAACCAAATGAATCCTAAGAAGTGTCCCTCTCCAGGAGTCTCCTTACAAATAATTAGAAACAAATCTCTTGTAAGAGTCACCTCTCAAGAAACCGAATAACCTTAGTGGACTATCCAATCTGCTATTTGGTAGTGGACTATCCAATCTGCTATTTGGTTGCCTTCTCTTCAAAGGTGTATGTACAGTAAGTTGAGGTTCTCTACTAGTTCCTTAGTCTTTGAGCAACGATTGGTTTTCTTTATTCGCAAAAAAAATTTTGGTCTCTTTGCTTCCAAATGGTCCAAAGCAGAGAAATTATTGTTTCCCATTCAAGTATCATATCGGTTTCTATCTTATCCTCTAGCCATTGTTCTAAACTTTCTCTGCTTTTGGCCCTAGATTTCCATTGACAACTAAGAAATAAATGGTTCTCGTCTTCCATTTCCCCATAGTGGGAGAATCCCGGATCTATTTGAACTTTTGAAAGATCTAATACATTTCCTTTTGTTGGCAGTTTCTTTTAGATTAACAACACATGAAGATTTTTATTTTTGGGGGAAGCAGGATGTTCTAATTTTTTTTCCATTCTTTTAATAATAAAGCTACTCTACTCCCACCATTTGAGAGAATACTCTGTAGGCCGACTTTATTGTAAACTTTCCATCTAGATTGTTTCCCCAAAGTGTGTCCTTCCCATGAGATTGGGATCGCTCTAATTTCTTCAGTTATTCTCTTAGGCTGTGTTTGGTTGCAATGCAAATAAATTTATACTGATGTAAAACCATGACAATGCAAATGATTTGAGTGTAAATTCTGACCAATTTTTGTTTCAAATTTTAACTTATTTTGTTTGATTGTAGTACAAATGAAGCAAATTAAGACATTAAGCAAAATAAAGTAAAATCCAAAACATAATTAAACAAGAATTTGCATTTTTTTTTACATTTGCACTCTCATGCATTTGTACTAATACAAATAAAATTGCACTGCAACCAAACAAAGCCTTAGGGACATACATTTGCATGGTTTCACGTGTGCCTTGAAACATTTAAAAATCCCAATACTACTCTTTGCATATCTTATGAGGTTGTTTTACTCTCTACTTTACGCTATGTTTGGTTTGAAGGAAAGAGTAGGAAAAGGAAGGGAAATGCAAGGAAACCTATACAAGATTTGTAAATGTTTCCTTCCCTACTTTTTCCTTCAAACCAAACATAGCCTTAGTGAGTTTTTAAAACCTTAGGCTTAGTTTCGAAGGAGTACAAATATAAATATGTAAAGTGTAAAACCTTGTATTTTGTATGTATTTATACTGTACATACAAATATGTAGAGTGCAATACCTATCACAAGTGAACTACTGTAGGCTACATTTGTATTGAGTACTAGCGTATTCACTCATGATATATAGCCCAGCTAGGTGTGCATGATTTTGTCTTTATTTCATCTGGACTGATAAAAAAAGGGTAGAAGGGATACAAGGGTAGAGGGGGTACACGTGAAGACCAATAGAAATAGCATTTGGTATATGCTAAAATATTCTCTATAGTTTCAACATATTAAAATTTACCCCATAGTTTGTGTTTTAGTAAAACACTCCTATAGTTTACAACCAGTTTACTTAATCATTGGTCTTCATTAAGAATATTCTCATTTGAAAATGGTCATCTAACCACCTAAACCGAGTGGAAAATGCTCACGGGCATAGGCTCATAGTTGTTTATCCCATAAGTACCCTTAGCACTTCATTTCAAGCTTTTAGAAAGAAAACTAACTTGGAGAAGATGTTGAGGCCATGTTTGATTCACTGCTTTGGGCTTCATTCTTTTAATTTTTGCTTATTCCAGGCAAGAATGAATAAAATTAAAGTACTCGATTACAAAATTCTTGCCATGGGCTACATTCTTTTTAGAATGAAAAATCAGCCCATAGTACAAAAATTGAGGTAGCTTGCAACACGAAAAATAACCATGCCCCATTTTGCTCATTTTCATTCTTTGAGGCTTCGTTTGCCTTGTGGGAAGATTTGGGTGAGATGGGAAAGTGTAAAAATTTACCTTTCCATTGTTTGGTTTTATATATGGGAAAATAGTAGGAAAACACTGTTATGAGGGAGAATAGAGAAGAGGAAGATGAAGGGAGAGAGAGAACTCCATGACTGAAGCTTCGAAGAGGTGCTTAATCGACCATCACACAGTGGTCCTCCCTTCTTTGCACTTTCTCTGTAACCGGGGATGAACTTGGGAACTGAAGTAAAGCAAGTAGGGTTGAGAAAGCAGCGGTGATCTGAGTGAGAGAGAGAGATAAGGAAAATGAGGGAATGAGAGACAGATAGGAGTGGGAAGATGGAAAGAATAGGAAGAAGAAGGTGAGGGAGATGAGAGATCGCTAAGAAAGGGAGAAAGGGAGGAAGACGGAGTCACACTGTTTCTCGCCCTCCTCTGTTCGTTATTGCTGGTTTGTTTTTCTTGGCCCATCCCTCCTCTATTCGTTGTCGATGGTAAGAGGTAATAGTGGTTTCTCGAGTTTTTCCACTAGGGTCGCACTATTTTGGTGCGACCCCGATTCCATATTTTTGGATCTGGCATCCCACATTTTTCTCATCCCATCCCTCTATTTTCCTTAAAACAAATAAGAGAAAAGGGAATATTTTTGGAATATTCCCTTTTTCTCGTCCCCATCCCACAAACCAAATAGAGCCTGAAGAAATTCTATGCTTACAAAATTGTTACCATAAATGTTTACTAGCAAACTACCTGGAAACTCATCTCGACAGAATTAACTGCCTGCCATCCACCAATAAACATCTACGCCAACAATTTTGGAGACTTAGGCTAGTGGTTTATGATTACCGACACTATTATTTTTAAGAATGAAAATGAGCAACATGGACACTTGTTAGTCTAAAGAAAATTCATTTTTAGGAAAAAAGTTTTTAGTTCATAGCAATATTTTCTCATTCTACCCATTATTACCCATTCTTGTCCATTTTAGAATTTCATCTTAGGTAGGAATCCAAAAGAATGAGAATTGAACCCAACATGGCCTGAATTGACGCTCCAAGTTTTTACATAAGTTCTAATTCTAAGCTTCATATTTTGTTTGACAAAAATAGATTTAGAGTTTAAATAAGGTAAACCTTGACTTAGGATAAAAGAAGAGATGTCAATCATGGTGGTTTTTTCCTTCACATGATCTATGTTTACAAGCTACAATTGGCTTGCACAAATTAGAATGTAACCTCATTTGTGATATCTCTTATTCATTTTTTTGTCAATATTGAAACTAGCAAGAAAGGTTGTGCACATTTTAGCAAGGGACAAGAACAACATTTTCATTTTTATTTTCTTTTGATTAAATTTCTTCTAACAGATACTAGGGTTAAAACTGTCATTTTACACTTCTATTTAATGCAAGATGAATTAGGCGTCTGTTTGGCATTGATGCTATTGCTCCAAAAAATGGTGACACATCAGTGCCACGTTGGAAAAAAACGGTGCTAGACCATGAAACGCTTGTTTGTTTGGAATTGTTTTTTCATAAAAACGGTGTTCTGCGCCACGATTTGGAAATCGGGAAGGCGTGGCTTGGAGCAACGCCAAATTTGGCTTTTTTTGGAGCTCGTTGCCGCCAACAAGGACATGACGTGGCACTGGATAACGGGTACCAGTTCTAAAAACGTTTCTTGATGCATTTGTACCAAACAAAAAATGTTGTTGTTGCTCTAAGAAATGGTCTACCTAACAACAACGTTTCCAAACAAAAAAGACACCATTTTCTCATAAAATAGTGCTTCCAACCCACACACATCAGCAGCACCAATACCAAACATATACCAAGTAAATCGATTGCAAACCATAAAACCCTAACTAAATTAGGGTTTAACTAGATCCTCTCCCAATCCGATCCTTGACATGCCCTGCACCCTAGTTTCACTTTCACATGTTAGGTAAATAAGTAACTGGATATCTAGTAGACGCTCATCTCAGATCTCACCAACATTGATAGATTGTAGACGGTCTTTAACAGATCTACTTCCAATGGCTATCCTAGTATCCTAGGTAGAGGGGCATATAATTAATACTGATATTTTTGTTACCCCGGAAATTGTAAATAGCCTAACACACAAAGCATTTTCCTCCCTCTCCATCGTTTTACCCTCTTTCTCTCTCTCTCCTCGATTCATTGTGTTATGTTGATTGGACTACTTTCCGTCTGACTGACTGAAAGCTAACCACAGTGGGGATCGTTGGAACATGGATTCAAATACCCATGGTTTATGATTCTTTGCCACATAAACGAGAAAACAGGCGCTGGGATTCGTTTCCGTACTTGACAATCCAGTCCACCATGGAAAAATGGGTCAGAAGAAACACTTCTGTTACTTTTCGAAGTGGGAAAAGGAAATGAGATGAGGGGGGGAAGGTACGTGGATGCAGTAGGATTGTTACCATTTGGTACACTCACTCGACAGACTCAGGCCGGGACCCGACTGGGACTCGACCGGACTGCGACTGACTTGTCGAAGGTACACCTTCCAAATCATTGTTCCAATTCATCAAATATATAAGAAATTCAAGAGCTTGCTTCTACTCTGTTCTCATTCCTCAATCAGTGAACTTGACCTCTCGTTCATCTATTGTTCAAGTATATCTAATTGATTAGCCCCAAAATAATTAAAGGGGTACGTCCATGAATTCTTCTTATTCTGCTTTTCTTCTACGTTCTACATCTACCCCAATGAGAGAGAGAGGTCATAGTTCATGGGTTCAACAAACTAGAAAAAGAAAGGGAAAGAGATGAGGATGAGGTGGTAAGCCGAAGTAAATAAGCCGTAAGCCCACCCACCAAAATACACCCTGGGTTCTTGAAAGTTACCTCCTCCTCTCAACAATCAACATTTCTAGAAACGCGTAATGTCAACTGTCGTCGGTTCTGATCTTTGACTAATCTCATCCAGAAAATTAGAAAAGAGACGAGTCGACACTCATGTTGGTTTACACATTGACGCTGTACAGTCGAAGAAATCAACGGAGAAAGTGTCCCCGACGATCACTGTGTTATAATATGTCAGAGCTAGCTACGAGCTACCCTGTTCGTCCGAAACTTAAGACATTTATTATTTTATTATAAACATATTGGCCAACCAGAGACGAACACGAATCCCAGCTCCCAACAGGCAACAGAGAGAGAGAGAGAAGGCTTGATAGACTTGGAATTATTATGAAGCTGTCAAAACTACAGCCCTCAAAGAATCAAAGTGCTTTTAAGTGCTCAGCTTTCATGGGTCCCTCCACAGATCCCGGTCTCCGATGTTGGATGGATAGGTTCTCTTCTGGCTGGGTTCTGGTCTTCTGTACCTGTAGCGTCTTGATCAGCGGTTTTATACTTTTGAAACTGCAGAGACAGAGACATGGACAAAAGATAACATGGCCAACAGAAGAAGAATACCATAATCGTTATAAATACATTTATCTTTACAAATATGGAAAGGAAGTGGAGCCAGATATCTATCTATGCATGTGTTTTGTGTACGATGGTCAGGACCGACCATTGTTATGACAGAGGCAGACGCAGACTCGATGCTGATCACTACTATAACATTCAGTGTTGAGTCTCTCTGATAATTAAAAGCTGCTGCTGGCGGATATGAGTGGTCTGCTCTCTGCTGCTGCTGGAGCTGGTGCAGTAGTAGTGCACACCCAAGAAGCAAGAACAAACCAGCTCCCATTAATAATATATATATTATAAGTTAAAAAAAAAACCAATTAACAAACACTGTGATCATGAATGCTAATTATATATGCTAAGGCCAGATGCAACAATCTGCTATTCTTCTCCATGTCTGGGCGTCAAACCCACTCTCCAACCCGTTGCAGTTCCGGTCGGCGGCCCAAAATTTTGCTGCAGCGACGGCCTTCTTCGTTTGTCTGCGTGCATTTCCATCCTCATGATCTCCTTTGCTCTGCATGCATTCTTTGCTAGTATTAATAATGTTCATGGAAACGCCACTCTGCTCCCGTTTCATAAGGGCCTCCAAGAACAATACCAGTGAAGCCATGTTCACTCTGTTGGAGAGTGATTGGCACTGATTAAGGAGTCTTATTATTAATTGATATATTGCCACTGATAAAGCCAAAATCACTTTTATTCCCCTTTCTGATTTAACCAAATTATAATTAATAATTAATTATGCCCGTCAATTCTTTAAGGTTAACTATTTCTTCCCAGTTCCCCTGCATTATTAACCATTTATATATTTAGGATCATGTTTATAAAAGCTTGTCAAGGATATTTGAGTAATTAAATTCATTGGGATTAGCACATCTTTTTGACACATGGTTTGGTTTGGTCATCAGATATTCATTATATATAATATATTGGACGTGGAATTTTTCATGCACTTCGCTCCATATCTTAGTCTTTCATTGGGTTGGCCATCTAATTAAGCTTGCTTTCATGAGTCGGTGAGCGTTGAACAACCCTCTCTCTCTCTCTCTCTCTCTCTCTCTCTCTCTCTACTGACTATGAGATTATCTATCAAAATTTTCAAGCCCAAAAGAAGAAAAAGGAAACCAACAAGTCAAGAAATTGAATGATTAGGACAATACAATTGAATTTCAGCCCTCTACCAATAAGGCAACCTTCAAGCTTAGGTGCAACCCGTGATACGAAAATGCAGGTCTCCATCATCCAGTGCATGGCGTGTATTACTTTCAGTCACTCCTCCTTGCTAAATATTTACTGAACTCGATTAAATAGTTATTTCTTAAAATAATAATAATAATAATAATAGTGCACCGACAAAAAATTATAAATGATAAACTCAGCTGGTGGATTCGTGAATTCCTTGTCATAGTTGGTAAGCCTGATCCTGGAAAATCTCTACTTACTCTTTGCTAAAGAAAGATAAGTGGGTGTTAAGTTTTAACTTTTAATTGATGAGTTCAACTGGCTTAATTGATAAACTATACATGGAAGACTTGCGCTAGAGCTTAGAAGTTGGAACTCTCTTCACCTCCTAACAAGTAAGGCGATATTTATTAATTTTAATCTGTTTAACCATCTAATTACTCATTAGGTATGTCCATCTCCCACATTACAAGTATCGTATTACCAGTACTAATAAGGTGTGCACATGCATGCGTTGTATCACGCTGCAGCTAAGCTTCTTATAAGAGCGAATAATAAATTAAATGCTATTAAGAAACACTTTTTCCTGCTTTCTGTTTGAGCAAATCAAATCTTTCATCAGACAAATAAGTTCAAAAGTTTCTTCGATTACAAGAATTAGTGCGCCTTCATTCATAACTCTCTTCTATCTATAACTATGGGCTCTCCCTCTCCATTTAAAATAGTGTAGTAAGGTGGCTATTGAGTACTATTTAGGGAAGAGAAAAGAAGAAAACGATCAAAACCTAAGAAGAAAGAGAGTACGGCTGAAAAAACAATAACAATTTCCTTAAAGCTAGCTAAGACATGTTTCATGAATTCTGGGTTGGGTTAGGTATTTGGGTGATAAACCTACGGTTTCAGAAAGCTAGATGTTTATTTAATTTATTTCACTATAGTATAGCATCTCTGCTTGATCTTCACTTGTTGGTTGATTGGGGTAATCTATTTCTTTTGGTTGAAGTCCCTTGTATCGTCGTCTAGTTGTTCAGACTTTCAAACAGTCTCATCAATTAATACAAATCCTTACATCAGAAAGAGTTCTCACAATCGAAGAAACCCACCAAAAGAGCTGAGAGCAGAAAGAGAGAAAGTGAAACAGAAAGGAAATTAACCATTAAACTTCCTACTTGTACAATTAAAGTACGACATTTTCATTTCTTAGAACATGCATGCATGCGTAGATGTCTATCAGGAGGAAGAAGAAGAAGAAGAAGAAGAAGAAGAAGAAGAAGAAGAAGGGAAAATCCATGATGAAGCCAGAGCATCCATTATATTGATGGTTGAGTTGAGTTGAGTGAATTAATGGCGTCCTGGTGAGAGGTGGGAGTCCTGAAGAGGTCAAGACGAGTGTCGCCCAATCGAAGAGAGTAAGTGGCTTTCTTATAGTCGGCCCAAGTGAAAGGTCTATAGAGAGGGGGGCGCTGGGGTGTGACCATCTCCGGAAGAGGGGAGATCCATGCATGCAGCGGTGGAGCCCCAAAGTAGATGATCGACAACCGTGGCTTACATGAGTTGGCTATGGCCCTGTGTCTCACGCTCCGAAACCTCCCGTTTGTCAACACCTGCAATCCATATCCACCACCCTTTTGAATTTTGATTAATTAAGCTATCTACATCTGTTAGCGGGTTAACAAAGAATATAGACCAGTTCATGGGCAGAACCGCCAAACCCAGTCTCATCGTCACGGTGGCATCCGTAGAGTGAAATTAAATGGTTACTGTTTGTCAGGTTGCCATTGGATGGGACATGTTGCGTGGGTGCCAGCGTGGCAGTAGACAAAGGGACCCAGATAATCTCAAAAACAGTTCAAATGTGGGAGAGAGAGAGAGAGAGAGAGAGAGGGAGTCTGAGAGGAGGGGAGGACCCATGATCCTACACAACTTATTCTATTACTGTTGAGAGACAAAGAGAGAGAGGGAAGAGAGTTAATGAGAAATTCGAACCTGCAAAGCATCTCCAACATTAATGCAGAAAGAGGTAGGGTCAGGAGGGATGGGGACCCAAACTCCATCGTCCAAGGATATCTGCAAGCCCTCGACCTCATTGGATCGCAAGACAGTCAAGATTTGGGGGTCGGTATGCTCGCCGAAGCCGATCCTGTGGCGGTGGTGGTGACGTGATGTGCTCCAGTCCTTGTAGTCAGTGCCAGGTGGAGGATAGTGATTAAGCCTGAAGAGTGAGTCACTATCAACATCTCTGACGAGGGAGCTTAAGACAGACCTGTCAGGGACCCGCAGAGCTTCTGCAATCAGATCCAGAATCTCACATGCCAGATCTCTAACTGCTTGTATGTAATCATTCACAGCACAGCTGCCACAAACACACACAAAAGCGTCAATCCTTTCCTTTTTCCTTTGTTTGGTAACGAGTCCCTCATTCTCCATTATCCATCATCATTTTCCTCTATTAAGTATCAACCCATCATTCCAGATTTCCCGAATTCTGCCCTTTTCTCCTTGATTTGATTGCCATTGCCTACCCCTTTGTTCGATGATCTCTCCCTTGTCATTATTCTTGTTTGTTTTCATTAATTCTTTCATTCCATCTCATGCCTCAATATTCATTCATTCCTTTGGATTTTAATCACTAGCTAAATAGAGTTATTCCTTTTTGAGAGACAAAGGCAAAGACAAAGGCAAAGGCAAAGGCAAAGGCAATCACTGAACACTGATCAGTGATGATTATTCAATGTACCATACTGTAATCCCTAACAATAATCTATTCAAAAGTGTATAACATGTGATTGTTTCATCTTCTTGTCCTTCTTCTTGTCCCCAATCAAATCTACATTAATAGCCTAAAATAAAAATCCTTTTGTTTTTTTTCTTGTGTTTGCCTTCCACAGTCTACTAATTTTAATGTTGGATTCTGGTTTGGTGGGGGCAGAAGATTACTATAAGATCAGCTAGCAGACCATCAGCTGCATGGATAGGGCTAGGCTTTTAGTAGTCCATTAATTATTAACAGTAAAAGACGGAAATATAGTTGAAATAAAACTAGGTCAAAAACCCAATTCCTTAATTTGTGAATACCCTTTTCTTTTGTTTGCATGGAAAGAAAATTATAAACAAATAACAACCCACACTAGTAAGAAATTACATCCATGATTCAACAAACTGCCATCTATGTATGTATATTATGATTATCTAAAGGTGCCAATAAAGTCTCCTACTAGTTGGTTGCAGAAGAGGCCTGGGATCGAGTCGCAAGGTTTTGGGGTTTGAGGACGGGCTAGCTAGATACCACGTTGTGTTGTGTAGAGTGTAGCCCCTTTTGACCCCCCAAAAAAATACCTTTTATATTTTGATTTCTTTTCTACGTGAGAAGAAGATAGTTTTGTATGGGAGAGGGTTGAAAATGAAGAACCATAATAATTGTATCAACGGAGACGAACGATAAAATACCTGAAGGTTGTGGGGTCAGTAGAGATGGCTTTGGAGGCTTGAGAAATGGAGAGAGGATTAGTGTGGAGGAGGATGTACTCAACTTCACCCTTGTCGCCATTGAAGCCGATGCTGTTGCAGCCATAACCAAAAGGGTTGGCGGGACCAGCTTTTCGTTTCTCGGAGGCGGGTTTGGCAAAGAAGTGAAACCCTTCTTCTTCTATTCTGGCAATAGCATCCTTGGGAACGCCATGATTGATCACCTTGAAGAAGCCGTAGTCTTCACAGGCTTTGAGAATGAGCTCCCTAACCTGTGGCCCCTTGCGAGACAGATCTATCACAGGAACTCCTCCCACTGCTTGCTCCTTCTCATTTCGAATTGTAGTTGTGGTGGTAGTAGTAGTAGTGGAAGCCACCACCATAATTCTGTTATTTGTTGCAATAATATAAGAAAAACAAAGGAAAGCAGAAATAGAGAAAGAAGAGATAGAAAGCAAATTGTGAGCTCAACGCTTTCAAATGCTACGAAGTAAAGGTGGTGAGGACCAAGTGGGGATGATGTGAATATTTAAGAGAGAGAGAGAGAGAATCTGTGTAGAGAATTCGGTGATGCCCTTATTATTAGTATTATAAAAATCTCGTGGATTCTGGAACCGTAGACTTCGGGTGAAGTACAATTTGCAAATTCATGTTGACTTTTTTATTTTCTGGGTTTAATTTTCTTGACCTTTACTTTTTTAAGAAGTACATGCATATACATGCATCTGAGATGTATTAATTCCTTTATTTGTTCAATAATTAATTAGAATTGGCTAATGTAATGCGTTACAAGATATTTAGCTAGTAATTAATAGATATTTTGTTGATAATATTAATATGGAGTAGACAAATACAGCACAGCGATGAAATATGTTTTATTTGGGTGGATGGAATAAATTGTAGAGATATTAGGGATTAGAAATGATTCATTTTGAGGTGTAGATAGAAACCCCATTAATTTATGTGGATGGTAGGGGGAGATGGCCGGACGGGAGACATGATCAGGATCTAATACCTACTCTCCTCCTCCTCCTCCTAATGCTACTGCAACAATATCAACTAAAGCAAAAGGCTACGTTCACAAATAGAATAAAGGGTAATTTGACCCCTAAAGCTTAGGGTTTGCTTTCCCATGCACACGACACTTACTCCCAGGATGAAAGGCCGGCTAAAAAGAAGCCTGGCCTCCCCTTCGAAACCTCCCCCTCCCTCTCCCTCTGTTATTCATATTCCTTTCTTTTCTTTTGACTTATGGGCTCTCTCTCTCTCTCTCTCTGTGTTTCAATTTTCATAATTTCATATCGCCGCTCTGGACCTCTGGACTGTGGACTGTGGAGGTGCATTCATAGATAATACAGTGAGTCTAGTCAGTGATCATGCCTTCCCAACTCAGGCATTGTAACAACCAAGCGACCACCCGTTAATCATGTCTCCCTCATAACCATCCTACCTATTCCTACCCTACCCCTACCCCTTCTTTACGTGACTATAGTCACCCCATGTCCTCTCTCTCTACTAACAACTAATGTTCAACCCTAACCCTAATTTCATTTCTTCTTTCATTATCAAGAAACTTTTTTATTATTATGTTAAATAATAATTTAATAAGTGGATGAGGATCAATAACCATACCTTTCATTTTAAATCCTATGGGCAAAACAGTCGTTGAGAAATCGGGACATAAATAATTGCCTTTTTACCTTTGCTTTTGGTTTAAGGAAATTGTATAATAATAAAATAAAAAATTTAAAATAATACAATATTATGAAAATAATAATAAGTTAACAACCAATACAGTGAATGTAGTGGTGACTTGGAGGCAGCACACTGAGGTGTTGGTATTGTGCTACGTGACCACAACAGAGCAGAGAGTTCATTTGTGGGAAGTCTATCGGCACTGACCAGCCCAAGCACTGGTCATGGATTTCCGGTCCTCGAGTTGGGTTCAAACTCAAGATTTCGTTTTTTTTTTAAGCTGGGTCCAAGTAGTCCTTAGTCCAAACTCAGTTTGACCTTATTTCAGCCCAAGTCTAGTCTTATTATATATATATATATATATATAATTCTAAAGTTTCTTCATTGATCAACCTAAGCTCAGCCCTGATCCAGTCCTAACCTGAATGATTCAAATTTCATTGCAGGCTGAGCTGGGGTTGAAAAGATTGGAGTTAACATCAGGTTCAATCCAAACTTGGACCTTAAGGCCCTGTTCGTATTTTGGTAAGTTATTCAGGTAAATGCACTTACCCGGGTAAGAAAGATTTACTCGGGTAAGTGCATTTATCCATGTTCTTTTATTTCTCATATAAACAAGGTAATGACCATTTTAATCATAAAATTCGATTATAAAAAGGGGTGTTTTTATTTCATTCAAGTGTTAGCAATTTTCTCTCTAGGTGAAAAAGTTATTTATCTACCTAGGAGATGGGTATCACTTACCAAGTGATACCCAAGAAAATAAATTTTTCCTATTCTCCACATAAATTTGAAAAAAGAACATAAAATTCTTAATCAACGAAAATCAAAATCCTATTGACCAATTTCTCCTCTCTCAAAATCCAGAAAAAGAATACCCCCTAATTGGTACATTCTCAGCTACAAAACGAAGGATCTATTCCCGTTTCCACCAGAGATGGGAGGGATGGACTACCCATGTTCTAATACATGGCCCCCTCAAAAGGAATATGATTTTATTAGGCATATACTGATGAAGGATTTGATGCAATGAATTAGCCTAAGGGCTTTCCCCAAAAATAAAATGCTCAATATTCATAATTATGAACAACAACAATATCATCACCATCATATGCATTCATCCACAATTGAAAATTACTAACAAGTGCATGAGGTGACTGGGCCCGTTATATTTCTCGTTAGCATACAAATGCTATTTGATCGTACGTAAGGCTCAGTTTGAAGATATAAATATGTATAGTACATATTAATATGGGTAAAACATTAAATTGATACATCAGCTTTGTCGAAATATGTAAAATAATGAGATTATTTCAATAATTTTATATGTAAAATAATTTATAAAATGGTAGAATAGGTATTTAGAAAAAACTGGTGTATTAATTTATGTTTTATGTGGAACAATAAGGAAGGAAGGTTTTTGTTGAGTTTCTCAAAAGTTCAGAAGAGGTATTTATTAAAATAAAACTATGGGAGAAGTTTTTATGAATGTGAGAAACTTTGGGGAAGATTTTTGTATTTTACCCTATATATATTTGTATTCCTTCCAGACTTAATCCTAACGATTTAGATTTTTTCTCTGTTGGAATCCTATTCTTTTTTTCGAAAATGTTGTTGGAATCCTAATGACATACAACAAAAGGCCGACTCCTGAGTTTAAACGAATCGGGTCATCCATCGAGTTCTCCTAAGTCCTATCCTATTATGACCTACTCTTTCATATCACCATGTGTCATCTGTTATGAGCAAACTGCAAACCTTTCTTTTCCTTCCTGAAGAAAGGAACAACTAGGGGAAAGCTACATCTAGAGGTCTACTCGCAAGGCCGATGGGTCCTACACCATTTATTCTTCTTCTACACTGGTAGTGGTAGGCCCCTCAGATGGGCCTCAGCCCATCAAAATCACAGGCAAGGACCCAACCCAACTACCATCTGTGTATGGTATTGCTGTTACAACGATCCTCTGGAGCTAAAATAATGAGCAGCTTTGGGGGTTTGATTCAGTCCCCCTTTCTGTTTGTTGGTCAATTTGTAGATTATGGAGATGGAGGCATCCAATGATCCATCAGATTGAGCAGCTGCTGTAACTGTAAGAACATAGATAAGGGTGAAATGCATTTGCATTTGCATTTGCTTGGCCGGTCTCAGTTTGACCGTCTGAGTGGGCCCAATTTGGGTATTGGATCTGTCTTGACTAGACTAGTCTCGGTCTTCTTGGACCGACGCGTTGGGCTTTTAATTCAGAGTGGAATAAAAACAACCATAGGTTGCAACAGGCTTGGTAATTGGTATCTTTTGTGTCGGTTGAGATTTGGCTCATCTTAGTGGGCCCAATTTCCAACCCATAAACACGTATGTACCTAAGTAGAGATGAATAAATAACTAGACTGGTTTTCGCAGCTCTCTCTCTCTCTCTCTCTCTCGTCAACCATTCCGGTCCCTGACTGTGAGTCATCAATTTAACTTTCTTTGGGCTCTGTTCTGTTTATTTGCAATGCAAATTCGAGCTAGATACAAATGCAGTACCTGGTTCAGTTTTGCATTTCCTTTTGTTTCTAACTACAATTTCCATTTTTGCCTTATTCAAATTTTGTGTACATTTTGTCTCATTTTCACTAATTGGTAATGCAAATTTTGTGTCCGAAAAACAAGTAGTCTGGGTTATCCAGCTTCATGGCGAGAAGGCAGAAAGCCATCTGCGTGGTTGACCAGAAGCTAGCTACGCTGGAAGGAGCAGGGTAACGTCAAAGTGTGGCAGTCAACAGTGAACCAAAAAAAAAAAAGACCAAAAGACTAACACAGAAGGACAAACAAGAAGAGACCAAGGCATAAAGAGAAGCTGTGGGCTCTGCGGGAGGGTGGGTGGCTGATAAAATTGAAATGAAACAAACAACTATGTTACAAGATTAGAGGATGACAAATAGCTATAGTACAGCGGAGATGGGGACAACGTGGACATGAAACACCAATGCATTCGTGTGGGTGTCCATTCCTGCTTGGATCTTTGGATTCAGGCCATGCTCAAGGAGACAAATGGTAGTATGCCAATATCCATCATTTCATTTATTTGGATAAGGCCCAAGGGATACTTGGCCCACGTAGTCCATCTTAACTTCTATTGTTTATTGTACAACTTTCCTTTATTTATTTTTTCTTAATTTTGATAAAAAAGAAACTTCATTAACCAACACAAGAGAAACTACGACACATAGTAACGATGACACAGTTAATAAGGTGAATCTTTTTTTCTTTTTTTGGATAAATTAGAGATAGGTACCCTGCACTTTAGGGGTAGTCATAGATAGGTGTCCTGAATTTTCAACACTTGAGTACTTTAAACTTTCAAAAATAGACATTTAGGTCAATCCATTAGTACTCAGTCAATTAAACTTGCAAACTTCTCCCCATGATGGCGTTTTCACATGGACAACAAATAATATATTTAAAATTTTCAACCACAGCATTCTTTGGTGATGATTTTATTCCGTAGAATGATTTCAAAAATACACATGAAAGTTATTTTTGACATTATTGACCCAAGTGTCTATTTTTGAGAGTTCAAAGTGTTGCAATTAAAAGTTCAGGAGTACCTATCTATGACCACTACCCCCCAATGTACTGGATACCTATATGTAATTCACCCTTTCGTTTATATATACAAAAAAAGAAAAAAGGCTTTCATTCATTCAGAAAGAGAGTCACCATTTGCAATCTGGACAAATTGACCACATTTACTTTCATTCCCAAGTGAGAGCAATCTGAGCAATTTTATGCATAGCAATGTTTACT